CTTTGAGCCTCATCCACTTCTACTACCAGAGCCAATCCAATCATTACTGAACATGCTCATAAGGAAGGACTTTGCAAAACTCAACCTCTCTCAAATAATTATATATATATATATATATATATATATATATATATATATATATATATACACATACATACATACTAGGGGCCCGGTGCACGAAATTCGTGCACTGGGTGTGGGGGAGGGGGGGAGTGTCCCTCAGCCCAGCCTGCCCCCTCTCACATACTGGGAGCCCTCTTAGTTGACCCCCATCAGGCGTTGACCCCCATCACCCTCCAATCATAGGATCGGCCCCTTGCCCAGGCCTGACGCCTCTGACAGAGGAGTTGACCCTCATCACCCTCCGATCACCAATCACCGGATCGGCCCCTTGACCAGGCCTGAGGCCTCCGGCAGAGGTGTCAGGCCTGGGCAGGGGACCCCCAGCTCCCCGAGGTTGCAGGCTCCGCCCCTGCCCAGGCCTAACGCCTCTGGCCTAGGCGTCCGGCCCGGGCAGCGGGGACCCGCAGCTGCAGCGCCCCGCGATCGTGGGCTTCACTTTAGGCCCAGGCAAGGGACCCCTAGCTCCTGGGACTGCCAGCTTCGACCGTGCCCAGCTCCCATCGCTGGCTCCACCCCTACTTCCTGCTATCATTGGCCAGGGCGGCAAAGGCACCTGATTCTCCGATCACGGCTGGGGGGCAGGGCAAAGGCGGCCCCAGAGCCGCCTTTGCCCTGCCCCCCAGCTCTTAGCTCCCCCCTGGGTTTCCGATCACTGTCAGTGGCAGGAGGCTTCTTCCTGCTTTCCCTTTTGCCTCCCTGCATTGTGCCTACATATGCAAATTAACCGCCATCTTGTTGGCAGTTAACTGCCATCTTAGTTGGCAGTTAATTTGCATATAGCCCTGATTAGCCAATGAAAAGGGTAGCGTCGTACGCCAATTACCATTTTTCTCTTTTATTAGTGTAGATATGCTTTGTTGATGCCAATACAAACAGAAACTATCATCAGAGACATTATAAAATAAGTGTGTTCAGTCCACAATTCTTATTGTCCCTGTAACACTCTCATCTTCCATACTAATGCTTTCTAGACTCTAGGGCAAGCATGTCAAACTCGCAACCCATGGGCCGCATGCCTCATTTATTTGGCCCGTGTTAGTTTTGTGTTTGACATGCTTGCTAGGGTGTTAGACTCCAAAAACCAAAATAATAACAAAATAATCACATGTGGAAGTTGATTAAAGATAAGACTCAAAAGTAATTTTGGCATATTAGGTGGATGAGCAAAAGAAGAAAATGGGACATTGGATAGGCTACAGAGAATACAGAAATAGATAGCAGGAGCAGCTACTACCTTCGAGGCTGAGAGAGAGCACCCCAAACTCCCTCACTCCCAACCGGAACTGAGACACAGACATTGTATGGCTGTGACTCGCTGAATGGCAGAGAAGTTGCCATGGCTCTCACTGGTGAAACTTGCAAGAAATCTGTGCTGTGTGCTGATGAAAGCTGACAATGGGGAGATGTCTCCCTGAGGCACTTCTTTACAAAATTGCCCAAGAGGCTTGTCAGGGAGGGTTACAGGCTGCTGGGCACTGCAGAAGCTACAAGCCCTGTGAGAGCCAGATGCTGGAGAAACTGTATGCACTGCAGGAGTCTGGTGCCAAAGGAGCCGTGAGCACAAGTCTTGCGTGCTGCAGGAACCTACCCACGCACACCAGAATCAGAGAGCAAAATTCTTTTCCTCCTGCTATTTCTCCACCACCCTCTATTAAAGCCTCAGTGTCAGCTGGGATGAGGAAATTATTTAAAGGGCCCAGATCCATTTTTTAGAGTAGTCAAAAAATCATGCTTTGAAACTAAGAGGCCGTGCATCAATAAGCACACACATGTCAAATGAGTGAGAAATTTAAATCTTTCTCCACGTGATCATTTCCTCTTAATTAAATAGATGATCAAACATCCAAGAGTCTTAGTTCTTTCTCTTTTTGAGTTACTGCTTTTGTAATGCTCTGAAAATATTCTTTCTTTCTTTCTTGTCTAAAATTTTACATATGTCTCCTTTTTCCCCACTTGACCCCCACCTCCCAGCCATTCCCACCCTGGGCAAGCCCCCACTGCCCCAGTGTCTGTGTCCATTGGTTATGCTAACATGCATGCATACAAGTCCTTTGGTTGCTCTCTAACCACCCCTCCCCCCCGCCCCCGCCACCATTTGTCTCTGGATCTATTCTTGTTCATCAAATTATGTTGATCATTTTATCCCACATATGAGTGAGTGAGATCATGTGATATTTATTTTTCTCCAACTGGCTTATTTAGCTTAGCATAATGCTCTCCAATTCCATCTATGCTGTTGCAAATGGTAAGAGTTCCTTCTTTTTTACAGTGGCATAGTATTCCATTGTGTAGATGTACCACAGTTTTTTAATCCACTCACCTGCTGATGGGCACTTAGGTTGTTTCCAAATCTTAGCTATTGTGAAGTGTGCTGCTATGAACATAGGGGTGCATGTATCCTGTTAAAAGTGGTTATTTCTATGACCTGAGGTTATGGATCAGACTTCCACATTTCTAGTTATCTACCATCAGCATGTATTTACTTTATTTAAAACGGAAAACAATTCACCTAAAAATGGCAACAATGATTCAGCAGTCTCCCCCTTGCCCTCTGAAGGAAGCACAGGCTTATCATTAAAGGATATTAAAAGGCTCATAGTTGTGATTACAACAATTACTATGATTCTTAAAAGCCCAAAACAAACAAACAAACAAAAACACAACAGGGTAGGCCCCTAGGACATCTTAGGACAGCTGAGCAGAAGAGTGCCATGGGGTTTCCCACCAAATGTCCATCGATTGTCACTGTGAAAGGTTTAGAAAAGGAAGTCAGGATGAGCCTCTAACTAACCTCTCTGTCCACGAGTTCCTGAAGGCTGTACTAGTAAGTCCCAGGGGCCAGCCCAGCACAGTGTTGAGTATGTGTGAGACATAGAACACAGCCCCTCCTGCGTGAAGCCATCACTTTCCCAATACTGTCATGAGAGTGCACCAAGGAACACAGAAGGCTGATGGACCTTGAGCGTTAATAGGGCTGTGTTGAGATAGTGGTGACTCAAAGCAATTTCCTGACCTAATGACCTCAAAGTATATGTTTACTGGACCTTACTGATCTTTACTGATCTTTATTGACCTTAGAGACAGTCTGTCTGCTACCTGTTTGCCATGCTTTACTGAGGGCAAGGTGTGTATCTAAAACTGAATAAAAAGCAGATAAGGCCAGGTTTCAATGTGCCTCTCCAAGAGAGAGGTCTCCCCTGGCTACCCATGCCTTTCAAGTTCATATTTCTTGTCTAGTGTTTTCATTTGTGCATCGGCCCCTCCTTCAGATCCTGAACCCTAGCTGTACAGGTCACAGCACCCTCCCCTCAAGGTATCTTGTTAAGATATGTTCATATTAAGATATGTTCATGAAGTGACAAAGTGAGTTTCCCCATGCTGGGGGAGAAAATGGAGAGGAAAACAGATGAAAGTCATCCCTGGGAGAGAACACAGCATACATTCTAACTCTGGGCTAAGTCAGAGTGTGGCTGAGGTAGTCCAGGGAAGTTAGGGGGAATTAGTAGGGTTTAGACTCGAGGAACAGAAAACAGGGCAGGGCTTTAGGAGTTGGGCAGACGGGAATGAGGACAGCCTGAGAGATGCTGGATTAAGCAAAGCAAGACTGGAAGACCCAAGGGAGCAGGACCTCACTAGAAAATTCCAAGTTCAAGTTCTAAGTCAAGCCTGATGGTGGAGAGCCCCAGGCAGCAGGATTGGGACTCAACTCTTCACGCATAGAGAGGCGAGAAGAACAGAGGGAACCAGAGACCTATCCCCTATTCCACATGATCAGGGGCTTCTTAGTTCTACTTTTGTTTCACTCTATTGAAAACCTCCAAAAGGTCTGTTGAGAGAAAAACAGGAAGTGGGAAACAAAGGGCTGGAGATGCTGCGTGGAAGGTGGCTGATACAATCTCCTCTTGGAGCCCTGTTTTCAAGTAAAGAAGTTTAACAATGCCTTTTTTTTTTTTTTTAACCCAAATGTAACAGGCTCCATCTAGGAGCAATACGAAGGAGCATTTATACAAAGGCAAGTCCCAACCTGTTGGTTTCTGGACAAGGGAGACAAGTCAAACCTTATTTCCTATAGCACAAGGACATAAGTTGGGGTTCCAGTCGTAGAAATCTATTTTCTACCCTGAAATACCTAACTTCACTAAACATGCAGATAGAGGCTTATACAAACATTCACTAAACATGCAGATAGAGGCTTATATAAACATTTGTTAAATATGCAAAATATGTCCCTGCTGGGAATTTCTCCTGGATGGACCCTAACTGGTTAAAACTTCTGTTACCTCAATCTGATAAAGTATGGACTAAAGACACCATTTTCATTCGATAAATCTGTAGCAGGCCTCATAGCTGCAGGAATCCCCCAACCACCTTCAAGTGGGGCCTTCAGCTTCTCGGTTTCACTAATTCAGGCCTTCAGAGACTGAGGATCAGTGACTGCAGGGGCAACTTCTCGGGCTCTGTTGAGCTGGCCCTCACCTCCATGTCAGAGCTCCCCGGTCCAGTCCGCAGATGCCATGGGCAGAAGACCGTAGTCAGGTGGTGGCAGCATGGACGTGAGCCCTCCCTGTGTGCTTAGGTTTAGGCTCCTGTCTAACAGGCACCTGCTTCACCCCCAGACAATATCCCTGGGTCTCTGTCCCAGGAGTCGCTGATAAATCTTTATTCTCATTATTCGAATTCACTCAGGTCCTTTGAATGGAGCCACCTGCCAGACTGAGTGTTTGTGCCCCTCCCCCGCTTCACATGTTGAAACCTGATTTCTAATGTGATATTAGGAGGTGGGGCCTTAGGGAGATGATTAGGTCATGAGGGTGGAGCCCTCGGGAATAGGATTGTTATAAAAAGGCTCCAGAGAGCTAGCTCCCTTGTGCCTTTCACCACCACAAGGACACAAAGAGGTGTCATCTCTGAACCAGGAAGTGGGCTGCACCAGACTCGGAGTCTGCAGGCACTTTGAGCTTGGACATCCGACCTCCAGAACGGTGAGGAATAAATTTCTGTTCTTTATAAGCCGCCCCGTCTATGGTATTCTGTTACAGCAGCCATAGGGACTAAGATTCCGTCCTCTCCCTCTGCCTGTCCCACATCCTGTTCCTTCAGATTGTTCTTTTCCATTTGCTCCCTTTCAGCTCTTGCAGAGCAGATGTGGGGTGTGGTCAGGACCCTCCAGTACACCCTAGTAAAGAGGGACTACTCCCCTGAAGGGTCCCTTCACAAGTTCATCTCCAGGGCTGTGTCTTGGGGCCTCTCCCTAGGGCCACCAATGGCCACTGCTCACTTCACTGCTGACTGCCACCTGGCTCTCCTGGCTGGGGGACCGACAGGACGAATGCCCCTCTGCATTCTGGCCTCAGCATCCTGTGTCTCGTCAGGTTTTCCCGCACTGCTTCCTGGGCACTTCACTGTGTAAACGGCTGTTTTGTCCCGTATTGGAAAAATTACATACAGTGTGCAGACTATTTTAGATGCCAACTGGGAAAAGTCCTACTGATTTAAAATGTAGTGAAAGGATTTTTCAAAAATGGTGAGGAGGGTTAGGCAAGTTTTCTGTAGGGCAATTTGGCAATATGCAATAAAATCACTAAAGAGGATTCTCCCCTTGACACAATAATTGCACTGCTACGTAGTTAGCACTTACCTTGACTATCGATTATAATGGTGAAAAGTGAAAACTATTTGTCCAATAATAATGCAATGGGTAATTCTGTGGCGTGAACTATCATACAGCCATTGACTATGTTTTTGAAGAATATGAAACAGCTTTGAAAAATGTGCCTAATATTCGGTATGAAAAGCATTATGCTTAATGGTATGATTATTTACAAATCTGAATATTGGTAGATTAACAGTGGTTCTACCGTATGTGGTGGGAAAAAAGGTTGTTTTTATATATTTTTCTTTTACAAAATATTTTTCAAGATTTAAAAAAAATAAGCAACATATTAGTGTTGTCAAGAAAAAAAGTACTGTAGTTGTTCTAAAATGATGTGATTTCATCACCAGGTAGCATCTTGTCTTAGCCTAATAATGCATTCCCAGAGCAGGCAGGGACTCTGGTGGTCCTCAGCCCTGCTCAGGCTAGGAGCAGCAGAGCTGCTAGAACACTAGCGCCTGCCCCAACCCCAGAAGTTCTGAGTTTACTGGCTTATGGCCCAGTGATGGTCATCCTTACAGCTCTCGTGTGGCCCTAGGGGTCGCCAGGACTCTCAGCATCTGCCTTTTCCTTCAAGCCCCTAGGGAAGGGGTCTGAGAAACCTCACAGATGTCTTCAGGGGCTTGTGGTGTCTACGCTGCATGTCTGAGGCACTCAGAGCTGCCTGGAGAGCCTGTCCTGGCGACAAGTGACCTCACACTCCTTGGAGGCGGCAGTGGGAGAGGGTGGGAGTTTGCCACAGGTTTTTATGGAATTCCAGAAGGGAGAGCATGAGCTTGTAAAGAAACTGGGAGGGAGAAAGGGAGAGCTGGACACTGATGTGACTGATGTGACTTCCTTCAGGTTCCCAGGAGGGTGGCCCTGTCAAGAACAAGAGATGATGAACCTCCCCAGACCCAGGCGGGGCGACCAGCTGCTGTTCCTGGGCATCATGGTCCTCACAGTCCTGGCCATCTTCCTGCTGTTCTACGCTCTCCTCTGGCAGGCGGGCGACCTCATCAACTTGCCCAACCTGAGAATTGGCTTTTACAACTTCTGCCTGTGGAACGAGAGAGCGGGCCGCCTGCAGTGCCACCAGTTCCCTGAGCTGGAGTCCCTGGGGCTGCCTTGGGGCACCCTGGCCCTGGCCAGGCTCGGTGTGTACGGGGCCCTGGTCCTCACCCTCTTTGTCCCCCTGCCTCTGCTCCTGGCCCGCTGCCACAGGAGCGAGGGTGAGTGGCATCTGGCAGTGTGCTTCCTGGCGATGGCCTCCATGCTGCTGGCCGGGGGCCTGGGCCTCTTCCTCACCTACACCTGGAAGTGGATCACGATCTCCCTCCTGGGGCCTGGATTTCTAGCTCTGGCCGCTGCCCAGGCCTTGCTGGTCCTCTTGCTTATGGCCACATTCATGTTCCCCCAAAAGGCAGAAGATGACAAGAGCAAGCAGAAGAGACACTAGTCCTGTCCAAAGGCTCACATGACTGCCAAGGCTGTTTGAAGGAGGCTCCAATAGGTGCCAGAGGACTCATGGCTTCGTGTTTTCTCAGCCACCCTGCATCATAGCTGATACTGATCTCAAGCTTGAGCAGATGGGCCCCACTGAGGAAGGGGCACCTGGCATGAAGGAGGCCCGGGTAGTAAGGGTGACTGGGCCCTGCAGCTTCTTAGTGTTGGCTTGTCTGTCCTTTGGGACTGCTAACACCACGTAGCTCCTTGTCACGAGAATTCCTGCTATAATTAACTGATCTGAGCAAACCATTCTTACTTCATTCTCAGGATGTTGGCCAGAGAAGGGTTCCTGTCCCAGGGCCAGATTTCCAGGATGATTGGTCAAAGGCCAAACTGAGACCCCGGGAAGGTTCATGGTGACAAATGGGGAACACTGAGGGCATCTCAGTGTCCCCGGGGCCCTGGTTAGCAAGCTTCTCCCTTGCCCCTTCCTCCCCAAGACACCACTCCCAAAGGCACAGGAGAGATCTCAGAGGGAGTCTCTGAAGTTCCCCTAAGGCTGCTGGACGCCAAGCCAGACAGCAGGGGAGTGAGTTGGCACAACCTGGGAGTCCGGGAGCAGAGCATGCTGAAACCTGGGGTGGGGGGGGAGGGCAGGGAGGGTGAACAGGACTAAATGGTTCCACAAATGTTGCATCCCTTCACTGCTCAAGCTAGACCTAGAAAGGATACAAGCACCACTTCTGCATGGGGAATTGTACTTTTCAGCACTGTATATTGAAAAGCTGTATAGCAATGGTCGCCTCACTCTCTGCCTGCCAAAAGCCACACTGAATACAGAGGCAATGTGATCTCTGCCCTGACCTGTTGTCCTTAGCGTCCACTTTGGGAGCCTGTCCCACATGCACTTTCAGAGTGACCAGGGATCAAGGCCAAAGCCACCAAGTAGAAGGAAGGGGGCAGCTCAGGAGAAGAGGCCTGTCTGATGGTAGAAGGCTTGGATCAAAGGTATCCCGGGAGCGCTAAGCTCCCAGACAGAGCAGAGCACTGTGGGCAGAATGTCTTCACGGCTCAGGGATTGACAGGCTGCCTGTGAAGGAAACTCTAAATTCGGCTTCCTCCTCACAGAGAGATGGTGCTGCCTAAACTGGACAATTCTGGTGTATTTAGCAGCCATACCTTTTTCTGTTTGAAAGGTATTAATCTGATCCCTTGATGCCAGTACGTCTGACACTGCGACCTCATTTTCCCTGGAGCCTGGTCACTGAATACACAGACATGGGGGTTGCAGACCCCTGTGCCCGGGGAGGACAAGGCAGAGGGGAATTCTAATGGCAGTTCATTCGGATCCCTCACTTCCCAAGGCTGAGTGTCCTGAGCTTCTGGCTGCAAGCCCGAGGGTATGGAGCTGGGAACAGTCCCCAGGCAGAGCCAAAGCCCCGTCCTAACATCCTGGGAACCCGTCCCTCAGCTGAAGACTGTCTCCCTGTACTTGAACGCATCCTGGTCTTCCTCAGGGCTGCTGCTCCAGGCAGGCTCCAAGCCTGCAGACCCGTGAGGCCGCCCAGCCTGCGGGGAGGCTGCTTCCCCACTGTCCTCACCGTCACTTCTCTCGGGAGAAGCCGGCCCCTCCGAGCAGGTGGGGGACAGCTCTGGCTGATCAGTGCCTGCCAGGGCAGCTGCTCCCAGGCCTTTTCCAGGTTTCAGTTCCCAATCAGGACCCCGAGCAACATGACAAGTGGGGCTTCACTGCGGGACTTCTGGCTGCAGCCCAGGCACCGCTGCCATTCTCCTCTTCCGGGTCTTCACCAGCAACATTCTCTTCTCAGACCCCTGGGCTGTCATCCAGGAGGGAAGGACCCTCTTTTTATGCCCAGAATGTAAGGCTTCCATCTCTCTCTCGCTGACGAAGAGTCAGGGCCCTCACTCACGGACTTGCTTTTCTAATCCAGGACAGCAAATCGCACTCTCTCACCACACCAGGAGTTGTAGGTCTGTTTGTCCACGAATGGGAGTCAAGCTTTGATTCCTGGAGGGGCAGAGGCCGGGGACACAGGGGCATCCACGTGGGTCGCGGGGAGCCGCCTGCTGCGGCCCCAGAGTTGCAGGCCGGGTCTCCGCCAGCAGCCAGGCCGAGCAAGTCCCGATCGCGCGCTGCTCCCGCGTGGGGTCCGGTCCTCCCGGGCTCGCGCCCCCTTCTTGGCAGACGAATTTGGGTGGTCGTGGGGCCTGTCCCCCCGCTCCGCATGCACCTCCTGTCCCAGGCTCCCGCGGCGCGCGCTCTGTAAATATTCTTGTCACCATTTGCCCAATATCAGAATACTTTCCATTGATTTTACTGTTCTTCTTTATCCCTTTTGTTTCATATGCCATTAAATTTCTATCAGATTTTTTATCAGTTCTTTAATAAGTTTAAAACTGACAAAGAGCCTAATCTTCATACATTTCCAAATTAAAAATCTACCATTCCTGGCTAGTTTTGCTAAAACACTCCAAAATGACTTTCCAAATACTGCAGTTAAAGTGACATATTCCCAACTCAATTTTCCTCAGCTGACTTCTAAAAATGCCATTGGCATGCCAATGCCATCTGATACCAGGGAAAGTCTAACAGATCAGAAGTCTGAGTGGAAAGAAAACAGTGGTTAAAATATCTCACTTTGCCCATTTTAGAAAAATGTATGATCATGTAAAAACATGTGATCATGTGAAATTAAATTGCTACATAGCAGCAGAACCTGGCTACCAGTTGATTCTTTTATTTATCATACTAAACTCTCTGGTCCACTCTGCACACTTTTCAAAAATGGACTCTGTATATTACAAGCCCATATTGGGACAATATGGGACGTATTGGGACAAGGCAAAAAAGTGGTCTCAGATGTCCTCATACTAGTAGGTGTCCAGGCCTGCTCCCCTCTGCCCCTCAGCTCATGACTTTCTAGATGCCCTGGATCCATTCCACACCATATCTTGGCCCCTGGTCTTTGACTAGCGCCAGGACTTGAAAATTCTTCAGAATTCAGAAGCCGGCCAGCAATGCAAATGAGAACAGCAGCTCTGCTAGGAAAGGAGGGCTTATGAAGAAAAGAGAGACATTTCCCATTGAAAGGAAAATTGCTGCCATACAGAAATACTTCTGATTTTTTAAGAGAATCCTTAAAAAAATCTTCTGATTTTTTAAGAGAAGGTAAAACTCTGGATTTTATGTGAAATCTCCCAAATATTAATAATTGGCAATTAATTAAAAACCTATTTAAAACACTGTGGATCAAACAGTTTTCTTCTGGAGTAAATCAGATACCTAAGACACCACACAGCCAAAACTGGCCATTCTCTACCCTTCTACTCCCATCATCTAATTGCATCATCTTGTTTTATTATGATAATAGCACTTAGTACCACCTGACATCTATTTGTTTATTATCTGGCACATGTATTCCATGCCAAAATAGCTCCATAACTAAGGATATTTTGTGTAAGTCGTTCACTGTTATATCCCTAGCACCAAAAGAGCACCTAGCAAATAATAAATTTAGTATCTCTGTTGAATTATGAATGGATGACTTGGAATTTAATGCTTTTGAATTTGCCTTCTTTATTTCTTTTTCAATATGAGTATAGGGTATTCCCTCTGGTCCTAGGAACACTGTCAGCACTTTCCCCAAGTGAACCCCCCTTTAGTTCAGAATCTAAACTGACTGGGGAAGAGAAGCAAACATAATTATCTTCATTCCTACCTCAAAAAAGGTTTTCCTATGAAACATTATAAACCAAGATTTTAAAATTTACATTTCAAATGAATTAAATTTCATTAAAATTTTAATTATTTTTTAATCAAGAATGTTCATGTATTGATCAGAATTTAAGATTCAGACTAATATCTTTAGCCAAATATATAAAAGATAACATATAAAATACACTGAATATAAAAATCCAAGTTTGTTGTAGTCCTATGAAAGAGATTTTTCATTTTGTTTGCTTTGCTTTGGTGTGTTAATGTCTGTGTTTTCATTATAGGGGATGAAGTTTTAAGAAACAGGTTTGATGAAACGGCTTGACATGTCTCCACATTTGCTCTCTTATATGTATACTAGAGACCTGGTGCATGGTATTCGTGCACTACGGGTGGTGGTGGGGGGTGGGTGCACGGCCCTCAGCCCAGCCTGCACCCTCTCCAATCTGGGATCCCTCGGGGGATGTCCGACTGCCAGTTTAGGTTGGGATTGGGCCTAAACCAACAGTTGTACATCCCTCTCATAATCTGGGACTGCTGGCTCCTAACCACTCACATGCCTGCCAGCCTGATCGCCTCCTAACTGCTCCCTTGCAGGCCTGATTGACACCTAACTATTCCGCTGCCAGCCCAATCACCCCCAACTGCCCTCCCCTACCAGCCATCTTGTGGTGGCCATCTTGTGATGGCTATCTTGTGACGATATGGGGGTGGCCATCTTGTGATGATGTGAGGGCACAAGGGCTACCAAGGCTTTTATTATTATAGATATTGATTACTATTGATATTGCAACCTCATATTGGCAGGGACAGTTCATCACCTCTGCCACATTCTGTTCCTTAGAAGCTAGTTGATAAATCTACTGATTACTAGATCCATTCTTTTTAGAACACAGCCAGGTTGCCAGGAGAATTTGTTTTGTCTATTTTTGGAAATGGAAGACAAAAGACTCTTTCTGCTGTCACTGGTTGGAATTTATCAAAAAAGTTTTAAGACCAAAGATTTACATTTACTATGATTATATTGGTCTCTTTAAAACTGAAGCCTAATTTATAGTATTATATTTTGTGTGAACAGAACAGATGGATGACAGCTATCATAGGAAGGGACAATCCAAGGGTTGAGCAGTTGCAGCGATTTCTCCAGCACTGGTCAGAAGAGAATCATCCTAGATACACCAGGACTGCTTAATATTTTTTAAATTTTTATTTATTGATTTTAAGGAGACAGAGAGAAACATCAACTTATTGTTTCACATACCCGTGTATCTATTGATTGATTCCTGCATGTACCCTGACTGAGGATCGAAGCCACAACCTTGGTGTATTGAGACTATGCTCTAACCAGCTGAGCTACCTAGTCAGGGCCCAGGCATGCTTCATCTGATATAATAATCAATCATTAAAACTATGCAACTCATTCCCTTCATTCCGATTCCCTACTAAGCAAACTATCTATCCTCTCTGGCTTCCTACACAGGTGTACTTCCCTAAAGCACCTCTGGTTCTCAGCCCAAATTGCCCATCAGAATTACCCAGAAAACTTTTAATAAATAATGACATAGAGGCCAACTGAACCAGAATCTCTGAGGGTGAGGCCCAGCATAGGTATTTTTTAAAAGATTCTAAAACATAGCCAAGGTAGAAAACCACTGGCCTAAGGAGGCAATGTGCTGATCAGATTTCCCTGCTCCAAATCCTCTAGTGCAGCGGTTCTCAACCTGTGGGTTGCGACCCCTTTGGGGGTCGAACGACCCTCTCACAGGGGTTGCCTAAGACCATCGGAAAACACATATATAATTACATATTGTTTTTGTGATTAATCACTATGCTTTAATTATGTTCAATTTTTAACAATGAAAATACATCCTGCATATCAGATATTTACATTACG